ATGAAGAAGATCTAAATGAACAAATTTCTTATGATCCAAGACAATTATATGAATGGAATTTTGATGGCCTCTCTGATTATCAAATCCATAAAACTATCTATCGAATATTAATTTATGCCACAGTGGCCCAAAGTAAGAATAATAAACCATGAGAAGTTGTACAATTTACAGTTAATGGTTTCACCGGGATTCTTAAAAGATGGTGGGACAATTATCTCTCTCAAGCAGAGAAAAATGATCTACAAAGAGAGAAAAGCCTGTTAGATCTAGAAAAGGCAAATGATGAAGCTGTATATACACTTATTAATAATATCCTAGAACATTTCTTAAGATACATGACAAATAGCAGAGAACAAATGCGTTCTCTATTAAAAAAATTAAAATGCCATTCTTTATCACATTTTCACTGGTATAAAGATGTTTTTATGACCAGAGTTATGAACCTTTCCGATGCCAGTTCAAACTATTGGAAAGAAAAATTCTTAAAAGGACTCCCAGCTACCTTTGCTACAAAGGTCAAATATAAACTAAGAGATGCCAATGGGCAATTAATTTTTGAAAATTATACGTATGGGCGTATAACTAGTGAATGTATTAAAGTAGGAATTACTTTATGTAATGACAAAAGAATGACTCAACAATTAAAACAAGAACGTATATCAGATAGAAAGCAATTAGGTGCTTTCTGTGAACAATTTGCATGTCCAGGACCCTTAACAAAAAGGGAACGAAATCTAGCTAAAAAACGACATACTAAGCGAAATAAAATAACATCTCAACCCAAAAAATTCTCCAAACGACCATACAAAGGCAAAAACAAACGTTTTAGAAAAACGACTAAAAAGAAAGATTAAAAAATGATCAAATGTTTCAAATGTGGTAAGATAGGACATTATTCAAATAAATGTCCTATGAAAAAGAAAATTAGCTAATTAAAATTAGATATAGACACAAAAGAATTATTAATGAAAATCCTTCTAAATTCAAAAGAATCTGAATCTAATTCTGAGCAGAAAATGAAATAGAAGAATCGGATTCAGATTCCTCGTCTTGTTGTAATAATTGTTCTAGTAGTGATTACTACAAAGCTATAGTTGAAAAATCAGGTTTATTTGTTCTCTCACATGAACAGAAAAACCAACTTATTCAAATGTTAAGTACAATCCAAGATAAAAAAAATAAAAGATCAAATTATTAAATTACTAGGCACCTCCGAAGACTCTCTTCTTCCAAAATTTTAAAAATTTCTTAATTATTATATGAAAGAAGTTTTAGATCGATTCATTATCAAAGAACAAGAAACAAATTCATCTCCAGCAACTTTAGCTGATTTAAAAGTTGAACTTAGAAACTTAAAAAGGGAAGTTCAATTAATTAAATCCGAACATGAAAAATTATCAACAAGAATTACTAATCTTGAATTAGAATAGCTACTAGATCAACCTGATCTCGAAGAATCTAATGAACCACAAACTAGTGAAAATAAAGAAAACAATAATACTCTTATTAATTCCTTGCAAAAGGCCATTATACATAAATGGTTTATTTCTATAACATTAGTAATTAAAAAATCCTTTGTCTTACCAAATCTTACTGCTTTAGTAGACAGCGGTGCCGACATGAATTGTGTCCAAGAAAGAATAATTCCTTCAAAATACTTTGAAAAAACTACTAAAAAACTAACCTCCGCTAGTGGAGATAGTATGCAAATTAAATATAAACTATCTGAAGCAGTAGTATGTCAACAAGACTACTGTATAAAAACCCCATTCTTATTGGTAAAAAATCTTTCTCAACATATTATACTTGGTACGCCCTTCCTATTTAGTATTATGCCAATAACTATTAATATCGAAGGAATCGTATCACATTGCTGCGATCCTCCTCTCATATTCAAATTTATTACAGATCCTAAAGAGATCATACTAAATGAAATGATTAAACTAAAAGGAAAATAATTACACATAAATTTCTTATTTAAAGAAATTCAATCAACATAATTAACACAACAGTTACAAAAACAAAAAATCAAGAAAAAAATTATTGAAATAAGGAAAAATATTAAAGATAATATCTGCGGAGATAATCCTATTAGTTTCTGGAATAGAAAAACTTATTTCGTTAGTCTTCCTTACATCGAAGGATTTGCCGAATCTCAAATCCCTACAAAATCTAGACCTTCTCAAATGAATAGAGAATATTTAGCACTTTGTCAAAAGGAAATTTCAGACCTTCTTAAAAAACAAATTATTCGAAAATTAAGCTCTCCTTGGAGTTGTACTGCATTATATGTAATGAATGCCGCAGAAAAAGGACGAGGTAAACCACGTCTCGTAATTAACTATAAACTTTTAAATAAAGTATTAAAATGGATTAGATATCCAATTCCTAACAAAAGAGATATTCTTAATCGATTAGCACAAGCTAATTTATTTTTAAAATTTGATTTGAAATCTGGATATTAGCAAATTCAGATTAAAGAAGAAGATCGTTATAAAACAGCCTTTACCGTACCATTCGGCCAATATGAATGGAACGTCATGCCATTCGGACTAAAAAATGCTCCGTCTGAATTTCAGAAGATCATGAATGAAATTTTCAACTCATATAATAAATACATTCTAATTTATATTGACGATGTCTTAATATTCTCTAAATCAATAGGTGAGCATATTAAACATTTAAAAACTTTCATCTGGCTAGCTCAAACAAATGGTCTGGTAATATTGGAACCAAAAATTAAACTCTTTCAAATCGAAATTCGATTTTTAGGACATAATATTAAAAATAATACTATAACTCCTATTCAACGGAGTATAGAATTCGCTAATAAATTTCCTGATAAAATATTAGATAAAAAACAACTTCAAAGATTTCTTGGTGCTTTGAATTATGTATCTGATTTATATCACAATCTTTACAAGGATGCTGCACCCTTTCTTAAAAGACTTCGAAAAAACTCTCTCCCCTGGGATGATGAATGTACAAAAGCAGTACAAATTATTAAAAGTCATGTTAAAAATATTCCTTGTATCAATTTAGCAAATCCTGCTAAATTAAAAATTGTTGAAACTGATGCCTCTAACTTAAGATATGGAGGTATTCTTAAGCAACAAAATTCTTCATCCAAAAAGGAAGAATTAGTTCGTTTTACCTCAGGATTATGGAATCCTACTCAAACAAAATACGCTACCATTAAAAAAGAAATGTTAGCTATTGTTAAAACTATCAATAAATTTCAAGATGATTTACTTAATTCTACTTTTATTTTACAGATAGATTGTTTTTCTACAAAATTCATTTTACAAAAGGATGTTCAAAACTTAGCTTCAAAACAAATCTTTGCCACTTGGCAAGCTCAATTAGCAATATTTGATTTTACTATAGAATTTATTAAAGGTAAATATAATTCTTTACCCGATTTTCTAACATGAGAATATCTTACAGGAAATATAACTCAACATGGACCATGAGGGGTGGTGCACCCCAAAAGGATGCTCAACACCACTAGTCCATAATCGAGGATGTGGATGGCCCACTCTTTGTGGCAATCCCCGCGGTAGAGGACGTGGTCTCGTGGGCCGCGACAGAGGAGAAATTACTCCTCCCAAAATGGTACATCTCAAAACTTATCTATATGGGGCAGAAGAGCTCAATCAGCAACCCAATCAGTCGGAAAGACCTTCCGAAAAAACAATTCCAGAAACAGCCCAACCAGCGGCCCATCGATCACACATATGAAATGTTTGAACCCATGCTAAAAATGAGCGTGGAGCATATTTTACACCTCAATATTGAAGATAATGATACAACCTCTCCTTGGCTTATCTTCAAAAAATATTTGAATACTAATCCCCTTCTTCAAGACTCCACTTATGATCGAGAAACATATGAAGCTATTCTCATTAATCTTCAATGCATAGAAGTAAAACATCATTACGATGATAAACATAATGTTACGTATAGACGAGCCAATATACTTAGCCTAATTCATCCTAAAGATTGGGGAATCACTCCTTTCCAAATTCCAAAATTTGTATTTCATTACCATATGGTAATATTAAATATTATTCTTTTAATTATTGGACTTATATTCAAGCTATGCACAAAGCATTTTATGTGCTAAATCCAACTCATTCTCATTCCTGGATGTTCATTCTTAATCCAGAAATATTAAATAATCCTATTCCTTCATGGTTCTATAAATGGTGGGAATATAAAGGAGCAATCATTCCTATTTTACCATCAGAATTGCAAGACAGTTATAATATTTGGGTCGAGTCATCTCCTCATCTTCAAGTCATAAAAACAGAAGATTTTATTGACGGAATGAGAGAATTCTTCTTTTTTGCCCAAGCACAAATTCCATGGATATGGTCATGGAATCTTGAATTTAATCAAGACTCATTAAATATTAAAAGCCTTATGCACAATTTTTCTGTTAAATGGTGGTCTGCCATCATTGTTGATGATAAAAGGAAACAGATTGATAAGGTAATTCAAAATAACCTTATCAAAAACCAAAGACAACCCCTTGTTGCAGAATTTTTCTTAAAAAATATTCAAAAGATGTTTAAACACGTTATCCCCATGAGTCTCCTGAGCAGATTAAAATTCGTTTGCAAAAAGTTTATTGGGAGCAAATGACTCAATTATTTCCGAATGATGAAGAAATGGTATCTCAAAAATCAGATGATACTATTCCCGACACATGGGACCGCCAGTCGCTTAAGGCCGAAGAAGCAAGACCAAGCCACCGTCCTGGCAAAGCTCCACTTCCAGAAGAAACAGAGAACTTTTGACAAAGTAGCTTCACAGGCAGTATGTTGGAATAAATAATAATAATAATTTAAGAACTGTACCTGCAGGGTGTAGTAGTTATCAACAATTTAGCAAGTCAGAAGTCAACTAAATATAATTTCCAATTAAAAGGCAATTTGATCCAATCAGGTTGTCTTATTAAATAAACTTGAGTATCATTGAAGAGTAATAGGTTTACATGACCATATAATAAAGAACGACAGATCCAGCCTGCCTAATCAATTCATGCCATTACGGAAATCCTCAGCTCCTGTTGCCCCTTTTCCTTCATCACCGGCGCCGAAAAATCCGGCGATCCTCCGTCGATGGTATGCCCGACGGTCGGCGCTTGTTCGAAGTAATCACAGCAGAAGTGATGAGGCTCCTGAGCTGGCTCAGTTGCTGCTGGCAGAGAAGGCCCTGGAGGGGCCGCGGCGGCGACGGAGGAGGAGGAGGAGGAGGAGGAGATGGAGTCGGAGGAAAGGATAAGGATGCTACTTCTCAGCCCTCTTGGAACCTGTTCATCGACCTCGCTACGCTGGTGGCCGCTACTGGTAACTTCTCGGATGATAATCTCCTGGGCCGCGGTGGCTTTGGCCCCGTCTACAAGGTGTTTCCTCTTATACAGTTTTTCACAATTGACCTTTATATTGTAGATTTTCACATTGCATCTCCTTAAAAAACTTTAGTTTGTTCACAGCGGAAAGTGGAAAAGCTCGAATAAGCTATTACCAATATGTATCTGTCACTATGTTTGCGGCTGCTCCATTCCAGTTTTTTTATTTTATTTTTAATAATATATAAGCTCAAATTTCATAAGGGGAAATTTTGGAATTCAGGGAGTGATGGCCAATGGGCAGGAGATTGCAGTGAAGCAACTGGCTTTGGACTCGCGGCAAGGGTTAAGAGAATTTACGAATGAGGTGAGGCTTCTTCTCAAGGTTCAGCATCGCAACCTCGTCTCCTTGCTTGGCTGCTGTGCTGCTGCGGGCCAGAAGATGCTCGTTTACCCCTTCTTACCTAACCGTAGCCTCGACCATTTCCTATTTGGTCAGTTTCTTTCCCATTTAATTCATTGTTATTAGACATAGTTCTTAGCTGTTTATGAATTGTTGGGTTTCTTTATTAAGTTTTTAGAGCCTTAGAGGTGTAACACCACTCTCTATTACTGAAGGAAGTTGGGCGGAGGAAGTTACTGCTTACATTAGCGAACGTGATAGCAAGCTGGAAAATAGGAAAAATGGTTTTAATCGACGAAGAATAGAATGAACAGCTTGATCCCTTGTTTTTTTTACCTTTCTTAAGTAATTTTAGTATGAACTGCTTGCATATATCCGAACATTCCCGTGTGTGAAACTAAACACTTCATATTGTGTATAGACAGAATTCTTTTGCGGATCTTGTAATTGAATTGGTTACTTACATTGGCACCCGCATCCACATGGGCCCCGATCACTATCCTACTAAGATGAAAAATGCAGGACACCCTGATCACTATCCTACTGAGATGAGAAGCCAAAATCCAATTGACAAATGCCATTATCAATACTAGAAGCATTGGAGCCACATTCCAATTTGGCAATAGTAGAAAAGAGAGGAGAGCGACAACAAGCTTCGTGGAAAGCACATCAGGGCATGACACTTGGATCTTGTGTCTAAGAATCTGCTGTTGAAAGGGCTCAGCGGAAGAAAAAACAAATTTGGAGGCTGAAGCCTCGAAAAAAGAAGATAAAAGAAAGAAGAGAAACTATGAGCATGACATCCGACACAGTCTCCCAGAGATCTGCCCCTGCTAACTGAAGTCGTCAGAAATGTGTCCAAAAGAAGGCTCATAATGACAGTTACCATGACGGTCGACACCCTAGAGAATTCTCCAGGGGATCCCATCACTCACCTATCTCGATCAGGGAAGAAGTTCATTTTGACCGCAATCTGCAGATTGAAGAAATACTCTTTTCAAGATATGAATCAGAAATCCAGTGGTGACGCCTCTCGAAAATCTGGGTACAAGAAGAAGAGAGAGGATGATGATGATGACATTATGAAATTCGAAGTGGTTTAAATGGTAAGCCTTTTCAATGATGATGACGGTGATGTTGAGGATGATCGACGATCGCCACCATGCAGATGTGGTCACCGACATTATTATAAAGCTAGGCCTGTTGCCAGCAGAAGTGCCCGCTCCTCAGAAGAAGGAGAGGAAGAGGCTAATGAGAATCCTCTCACCGTTGAAGCTATCAGACTTGCAGAAATGAGGAGGCAAGTGAGGCTACAAATGAGAGCGAATAACAAAGAATCTCTCAGTAGAATGCAAAAATAACTGAGATGATGACTAAAACGACAATGATGGAGAGGATGCAGAATGATGCTTTTGTAGGCCTGCTATGCTAGCTCAGCCCGTCAATCAAGCTACAAGCAGCGCTCCAACAAACCCGCCAAATCCCTAGGTGCCCCAAGCCTCTGGAGTAAAGGGTGTAACTGAAGTCGGCAATGAAGTCAATGACAATACCTGCCAGCGTACTCCACAAAATATGGCGAGTGCCTTTGAACCTGTAACGGACGCATAGCTAGAGGGCTTAATCAGTGAAAATATTAAAGCCATTATTACTTTTGAACAGACAAAGAAGTTGGTAGACAAAGGTCGCATGTACCCAAAAGAATATGACCAGATGCCATATCCGAAGGGATATTCTATCCCAAAGTTTAATACTTTCAACGACAACAATAATCCATACATCACCTAACGCAGTTTAAAGCCAGTTGCGAGAATACGGGAGGCAACGACGCTCTGTTGTTTCGGCAATTCGTTAGCAGCTTGACTGCAACTACTTTCGAATGGCATGCGAACTACCAAATGATTTCATTAAAATATTTGTGAAATTATAGGCCTTATTTGTAAAGAGATTCGCTAGTGCGACGAAAAAACTACCATAAGAGGAAGAAGGATGAGTTAGTGACGAAATATATAACCCACTGGCGCAATATCAGCTTGAAATTCGAACATCAGCTGGAAGAACAACATGCAGTTCAATTGCTAATGGGAAATAGTAACGATAAAATACAACCCTTCTTGTGCATAGCTTCCATTACAACATTCCTGGATTTATTGGACAGAGTGACAAAATTTTAGAAGCTAAATTTATCAAATTTCAAGGCCACTTTTACAAATCTAAAAGGCTAAAGTTCAAGGCAGCAGGAAGGGCGAAGCCCGCTCCACATATTATTCCAAGTCTGATAAAGGAAAGTAGGTAGTGTATAATGTCAAAAAAGGCCAACAACCTGCCTATAAAGAAGAAAAAGAGAAGCAGTCGATAAATCCCAACCTCTAACCAAAGCTAATACTTGGGAGAAATGATAAACCTCGAGCCTTTTCTGATGGAGGAGAGCGCCCTAGACAAGCAATAAGAGCTGGTGATAGAACGTTATCATCCCTCTAGGAGAAGATTAATAAAGCATATTCATTCAAGAGAAAAAATGTCGTCAAACTATTCCGACAAGCACTTAAGGCTAGTCTAGAATTGCAGTGTAATAGGCTTGACGAGTCTAAACACATTGGCAACCCAAACTATTGCCGATATCATCTGGTAATTAGTCACCTAATTGAAGATTGCTACGTCTTTAAAAATTGGTTGGAAAAAAAGTAAAGGAGAAAATTCACTTTGTCATATAACTTGTTAATTCATCCTAGAAAAAAACCACCCGAGTGGTCACGTCCTTTTTCGTACCCTTGCCAAAAGAAACAATAGAAAAAAATCTATTCAAGAATAACAATGGGAGAACGTGGTCTACTAAAGGACAACAAAAATGTTGAAATAGTTTAAGGGAGTTCATGATGTTAAGTGGAAATCTTCTATTGAGCCAGTTGTAAATTTAAAGTGGTTGTCTGTTACGCATCCATCCACCTCCAAACTGCACTCTGGCCAAGCTAGCTCGTCAAAGTATGGTAAGGCAAAATTAAAATTTTCCAAGAAGAGAACCAATATCAAAGAAGCCCAAGGAAAAGAAGACTGCAACTTAAAAGAATATTGATAGTTTGGGCGAATATCATCATATTGCGAGGCGGCCTATTAAGTTCGTCAACTTCATGATGGAGCTTAAGATAGATGAAAAGGTAGAAGAAGCAAATGAGGAATCGCTTCCTGTGGAGACATGTCGAGTTATCTCGGCTACATTAAAAATATCGACAAGGGAGGAATATGTTGAAGAAGTGGCCAAATGGTGTCGCTAATGGATTTCAGAAGAGGATATGTATTTTCTAAATAAAGATGATTCATACCTCGATATAACATCGCAAATGGAGCAAATGAGATTGCAGGATGATTCTGAGTCCACAAGTGAATCTCTAGACACGACAGTGGCCGATTCTGAAGAGAATGCTTCATCAAATGAGTCTTAGCCAGACAAAGTGACCAATGTACAGTTGAGAGGTGACAAGAAACTGCCATTTCCACCAAAGAAAATGGGTCTACAATAAAGATAAAGGGAATGAGATAATTGTTAATGATGATATTATCCCCAAGGACCCTAAAAAAATGATGCTTCAACTAAAGGGATAGATTATAACATCTTATCCTATATGAGAAAAATTCCAGCACAACTCAGCATATATAAAACCCTTGTAATATCTAAAGACTTTCGGGAGACGCTGATTCAGGCTCTTAAAGATCCCAAAAGATATGAGACGTATTTTTTTGAGCGCAACATGCCAGAGGTGCTACAAGCCCGGAATGAATTGATTATCACCTTTGTTGATGAAGACGTGATGCTCGGAACGACTTATCACAATCACCCTCTATACATTATTGCAAAGAGTGACGGTTGGTTTTATAATTGGCCGGATCTTGATCGATCCTGTGTCTTCCATAAATCTCATAATCCTGAAGGCACTAAGATCGTTGTTCCTCGATTTGCAACATCTTAGACAAGATAAGCTAATGGTACACGACTTCAATGAGAAGAGATAAAAGACCCTGTGATCATTTCACTCTCCCTTATATTTGGGGAACTTCATACAGAGGCTAAGTTCCATGTATTGATGCGGACACCTCATTCAAGGTGCTTCTGGGTCGCCCATGATTGCATGAGTACGGTATCATCCCGTCAACACACCAATATATGAAATACCTCAGAGACGGAGAAGAGTTCAGGATCTCTAATGCATTAGCCCTTTGCTGTCCACAAGGTAAAAATTTATGAAGACAAAATATTTCATTCCAAAAGAGCCAAAGCCTTCAAGCTCTCTGGAGGCCAAGGCATCAAATTCAAAAACTGCAAAGTGGCCTAAACAAGAATGTGAGAAGAAGCAAAGAGGGAGAAAGAAAGTAACACCGACTCTCTCCAAAATAGCCACTACTTCCAAAACAAGTAAAGCTGTGCCTCACCCTGGGAGTGACATAGAAGAAGATAAGGTCATCCTTGTTAAATCTAAGAAGATCTACCAATTTACTGCCAAAGGGAAGAAGAATGTGGAATTTTTAGATTCCAACTATGACTACGAATCTACTTACACGGGCAAGGTGCAGTGTGTAAGAAGAATATGCAGCTTATCAATATCAGACATCGTATTCGTAGTCACGCGTCTTCCTCTGCGACACTCAAGAAAATCACCCCTCGAGAGGTGCATAATATTGGGGAGCTCAAAACACTCTATCTACCTCCTCTTAGCAGAGGGACCGGACCAGACAATATACTTTACAAAGTCGTAAAGCGTGAAGAAGAAAATTTTGATTGGCTTGTCGAATTCATTGATGATGGAGAGATAATGCCTACGATGATGCCCAAGTATTGCTCCAAAGGTGCTCGAACAATGATACGGAAAATAGAAGCTCATGTCGGCATTATTAAATGATGAGCTCGTCTCCACATGAGTATGTGGTACCGAAGAAATCCTCATATATTGCAAATAAAGGATATACTTGCAAGAAGATGTCTCAGATTCATTGTGCAGAAGTACCTTCGAAAGGATATCAATAAGCCATGCCCGAAAGATAATTTTTTGCTCCAAGTGTTTAAACTCTAGTTTATAACACGTCCAACTATGATATGTTATC